GACAAAATTAGGCTGATAAGAAAAGGAATATCGTCTTTACAAAAAACAAACACTCTTCAAGAGTTTAATTAAAGCATTTTACTTTAAAACAAATTCAAAATTAAAAAGGCTTATGGAAAAAAGAAAGTATCTTCTGCATAGAAGTTAAAGTTTCATATGTGTTCTGGTGGTGAAAGTTTCAGTGCTGGTCCCAAGACTATGACTTGCTGTAGGCACTTTGACTGTAGCAACAGCCCCACCAAAATTTTCCTTCTCTCTGACATGCTTATCTGTGTATAAGTAAGACATTAAAAATTGCTGTACATAGTGCGTAAAATATATTATAAGAATTCATTCTTCTTCTGCTGCCTTTCATTTTATTTCGGTGATTGTATATCTTTTTTCTTTTCTTTAAATTGTATTATATTTGTTGTTTGGATGAAATGAAATGAATAAATAAAACATAAAACATAAAATATACAATAGAAACTGAATAGTATGGGTGGATTAGACGCATTGTAAAGGGCTTTGCAGAACCTAAAAAATTTACAAGGCTCTTTAAGTGTGAACCATTTACCATTACTTGTCTTCTAAAATTTAAACCAAATTACAATCATACAGCACAAAATATATAAAATTATTACTCATATCAGATTAAAAAAAATATTTAGGTTGAAAAATCTCTGACATTTGTGAAAATGATGAAATTTGTGTAATGTGTCTTGAAACAGACCGATCTTGCAAAAAAATTCACTGATTCAGAATTATTTCTATAAGAAGTCATATAAATCATGACCAAAGTACCTTTTAATTACTTCGCCTTTAATTTGATCCTCCATATTTCAGGTGACTCGGCCCTACCAGACCATGTCCAACCCACTCAGCAAGCTAGCGGTTCTGAACAGCAGCCACTCCCATTTCATTCTATCTGACAACGGGACGATTGGCAAGTACGGAGCTGAGGTCCGCCTTCGTCGACAGCTGGAAAAACACATTTCTCTGCAGAAGATCAACACACGTGAGTCATGTGACCTGACCAACCAGTTGAGGCTAGTACTCTCCAACTCCCCACTTATTCTTAAGGCTCATCAACTCATGTGACCAATCATGTGACCTGTGGGTTTCCCTTTGTCATCCTATGCCTGGAGCTGTCTGTAAGGCAGGGACAGCAAAGGGGGACTCAGCCGTCACCTCTCACTTCAATCCCCTGGGAACCAGGAGAACCAGACAATAACCAGAACCAATAAAAACTCAACAACATCCAAATCATTGTTAAAACCTAACCCAGCAAATGCCTGAACAATACAAATTATCCAGAATGCCTCAAAATCTTAACCTAACAATGACGCAAACCATTTGAACCAGGGCTGCCCCACCAGTCGATTCCAAACAACCTGTGGATCGCGGACTGGTGTTAAAAACAACAACCCAAGTGAAAAACCAAACCCAACATTAACCTAACTCAATAAAACCATCCAAACCTCCACAAAGACAAAACCCAACAAATGCCTGAACCATCAAACCCACCACAAAAACCCAAACCCACAAAACCATAAAAAAAAAAAAAAGTCAAAAATCACCATGAAAGGTGGTGGTGGGGGGGGGGGTGCATTTGTTCAAATGATCCTAGACCTTTAATGTTTAGTTTTGGATTCTTAAACCAAAAAAATGTCAATATTTACAGATGTTTAGGCTCATCAACATGTTGTGGATCATCCTGACTGAACCTGTGTCTGTCTCCAGGTCTGGGCCAAGGGGTTCCCGTGGTGTGTCTGATCCTGGAGGGGGGTCCTAATGTCATCTCCATTGTACTGGAGAGTCTGAAGGAGGAGCCCCCAGTCCCGGTTGTGGTCTGTGATGGAAGCGGTCGAGCCTCTGACATCATTTCCTTTGCTCACAGATACTGCGAGGAGGACGGGTCAGAACATGTCATTATCTTAACAGATGAGCTCAGTACGTTTGGAGATCCACTTTCTCCTCACCGCCTTTTTCCCTTCTCTGCAGCCAGGTGAATGAGAGCGTCAAAGATCAGCTGCTGGTCACCATCCAGAAAACTTTCAACTACAGCCGCAGCCAGGCACAGCAGATCTTCCTCATGGTGGTGGAGTGCATGAAGAAGAAGGGGCTGGTAGGTCAGCTGAGCAGGAAAAGTTCATGTTCAGAGAGTCAGAGAGAGTCAGAGTCAGAGTTTCTTTATTGTCATTCGCACCTCATGTGGTACATGTGGTGGAGCGAAATTATGTACGCAGGGTCCCAGTTACATCCAACAATAAAATGTATAAGAAAAACAGTAATAACATCTAAGATATGAACTAAGAAAAACATCAACTAAATATACACTAAGCACTCATAACATAAAACATTGAACATCAGCACAAACATGAACATGAGTCTGTGAGCAGATGTGCACGCATGAACACATCAACATTGAAACAGATCAGCAGCAACATGAAACAGATCAGCAGCAACATGAAACAGATCAGCAGCAACATGATATGGTTTTTCACAGTGATTATTCTAGTTAGAGATTCATGAGTCTAACAGCCTCAGGGTAGAAGCTGTTCCTCAGTCTAGTGGTTCTACACTTAATGCTCCTTAACCTCCTTCCTGAGGGGAGTGGGGCAAAAAGTGTGTGTGCTGGGTGGGTGGGGTCCTTCATGATGCAGGTGGCCCTCTTCCTGCATCTGGAGGTGTAGATGTCTGTGATGGTGGGGAGACTGATTCCAACAGTCTTCTGTTCAGTCCATGTCATCTCCATCAAAACATCAATAAACCTGCTTTTCATTCACCACTCATCCTGCTGTCTGTGTCATCTTTCATCATGTCACACGATAAACTCACTGCAGACAATAAATCTGGACACCTGAGATGATGTAGGAATAATGTTTCACAGCTGGATGGAAGCTTTAGAACTAAAATGGCTAACTTTATTTAAAAAAAAAAAAAAAAAAAAAGTGTGATGAATTTTAACCACTGACTTAATAGCTGTGTGCTGTTTTTAAATGTAACTCATTTTTGTTTGTTTTATGTGATTCTTCTGTTTGTTAGTAATGTTAGAGCATGAAAAACAAACAAAAAAAAAAACACACAAAGCCCTTTTTTCTAGAAAATGTGTACATTGACATATATTGAGCAACATGAGTAACATACAGTGAGGGGAAATGTTTTTTTTTTTTTCTTTCCCTGCTATCGTATGTTTGATGCTTAGAACTCCACACTCTCCAGTTTTTATTTGAGAAAGCTCCCTAGATAAGAAGTGAAATATCTAAAGAATAAAAGTCCAGTTGTTGGTTTGGGGTGGGAGGGGGTGGGTTACAGTCTGATTTTTTAGCATGCAGCTGTATTTCACTGCAACTAAAAGTCCAGAGGAACACACAAATATGTTACAAGCAAAAAATGGCCCTGTTCACTGTGGAGAAGCCCTCGGTGGTAACAAAACACATGCATGTTAGGCTGGTTGTTAACTCTAAATTGTCCCTAGGTGGGAGTGAGAGCGTGAATCGTTGTTTGTCTCGTTTGTCTCTATGTCCTGTGATGGACTGGAGACCTTTTCAGGGTGTCCCCCCACCCCTCACACAGTGATAGTAGGACATGGGTACCAGTGCCCCCCTGACCCAAAAAGGAGCAAGTGCGTCAAGATAAGATAATGGATGGAGCAAGGTTAATTTGTAATCGCGACCCAGTAACATTTCTACACACTCAGTGCAAACAGCAACACCAACTGCCTAAACAAATAAACCAATAAAGTTTTACAGTATCTACTCCAATCTAGTAGGTGATTTGTCATAAAACTTAAAGCAAACTAGATAAATCTGCAGTAAAGTCTGGAACTACAAATATATTTCTTCCACCAGTTCTTGTTTGTTAATGTCACAGTTTCAACATACCTCCTTTATCTGATTTATGAATTTCAGAGATTTGTTTTCGACATCAAAAAATTACATGTCCATCCCACCATGGATCAATCCGCAGCAGCAAGGTGCATGTGTGAAACATTTAGGGTCTAGATGCAGGGGGGAGAGGGAATATGGGGCATGATGGCGCAGAGGTTAGAGAAGGTTGGCCTGTTGTCAACACATTACTGGTTCAGCTACCCAAACCATCCATACATTATCTTTACTCACTTCTTCCCTTTTGGGTCATGGTGGTCACCGGTGACCATACGTAGCTGTCACTGTGCGAGAGGCAGGGGACACCCTGGACAGGTCTCCAGTCCATCACATGGACACAGAGACAAATGAGACAAACAACCATTCACTCTCTCACTCAGCTAGAGACAATTAGTTACCAATCAGTTTAACATGCATGTTTTTGGTCTGGAAACCGGAGTACCTGGAGAAAACCCACGCATGCATGGAGAGAACATGCAAACCCCACCCAGAATGGCCCTATGTCAGGATTTGAACCAGCGACCTTCTCGCTAAGAGGCAACGGCTGTACCAACTGAGCCACCTTATTGCTGTGCATCAATTCATTGATGATCTTCATTTTTAGTCGGGTGACTGCTGAGTACAAGTTCAAGTTCAAGTCAGTTTTATTGTCATTCTCATCACATGTAGTACATGAGGTGGAACAAAATGATGTACTCAGGTTCACAGTTACATCCAAAAATAGCAAAAATATAAAGTGTAAAAAACAGTATATAAGGATCTAAGATATGCACTAAACTGTAGAGGTTCTGGGTTTTGTCCTTTCTTTCTCTGTTTCCTCATGTTTTCAGTCAGCTCTCAGTGTTTTCCCCTCCTTGTGTGCAGCTCTTGTCTCACCTGTGTTCATTGTCAAACACCGCAGGTGTCTGTTATTTGTCCTCGTTAGCTTGTGTATATATTCAGCTCCCTTGTGTCTTATAACTGTCTCCTGATTGTCCTTATGGTGTTGTGTTCTGCCTTCCGTCCTGTCTACCTGTTCGCCTTGAAAGTAAACTGCCCCGTCAGCATTTTGCCTTTTTTTTTTAAATAAATATTTTTGACTTTTCCTTGAGCCTCTTGTCACCCACTTGGGTTCAACACACCAGATGGTAGAACCTGATATAAATGAACGCCAAACAGTACGTTAAAAGATCTAATATATACGCTAAACACAAATAATGTAAAATAATACAGCACAACAGCAGCCCGAACGTGAGGGCTGATGAACAGCCTGAGGTGTCTGCCATTAGGTAAGACCTGTCCTCTGTAATGTGTTGGGTTCTCAGTATCACTCTTTATGTAGATGTTCAGCAGGGAAGGCAGGGGTGCAGTGACAATCTTTGCTGTCATTCAGGATACTCTCCATGGCAGAGGAATAGAAGGCACTCAAGATGGTGGTGGGGACATTGAATTTCTGTATCAGCTAGGGATGGGGCCGATCTGATCCGGTATCGGTATCGGCCTCCGATACCAGCATTATTAACGTACCGGATTTTTCCGATCCAACCTGCAGAGGTTTTCGATCCATGATGCATGTCTGTGTCTGTTGAAACTTCTCATGTGATTCCCTGTCCGCTGTTCTGCAAGTTGGCTTCAAACTATGGAATGGATTTTCTGAACGGAGACGTGTCTCATGAAACCCAGAGTAATAAGACCTGCCTCACATTCAGGAAATCCATTTTATACATTGCAGCTAGCTAAAACGTGAGCAGCACTGTGGCTAACAGCTAACCAACTTTTTATCGACGCGTCCGCTGTGTGGAAGTATTTTAATTTCAATTCAATTCAGTTTATTTATATAGCGCCAAATCACAACAAAGTTGTCTCAGGGCACTTTACAGAAACATTCACATAAAAGCCAATTAGTAAAGTTCTCTATCTAAGGAATCCAGCAGACAAGTTGAATCTTGGCTTCGTTGCAGTCTCCCATCCTGAGCAAGCACAGTGGAGACAGTGGAAAAGAAAAACTCCCTTATAAAAGGAAGAAACCTCCAGAAGAACCAGGCTCAGGACAAGCTGTCATCTGCTTTGACCGGCTGGTTGAGAGGACAGGAAGGAGAGACAGACGAACATAGAATGGCAGGTCCAGGTATAGGTCCAGGTGTATCTGAAAGACACACAAAAAACCACATGTTAAGGATAGAAAAAATAATTACAAATACAAAACAGGTTGAACAGAGTAAGTAAAGACAGTAGCAGAGTGAAAATTGTGGTCAGTTTGTCCTCCAGCAGTCTACGCCTATAGCAGCATAACTAAGGGACAGCTCAGGAAACCCAAGCTGACCCTGACTATAGGATTTATCAAAAAGGAAAGTCTTAAGCCTAGTTTTAAAACTGTATAATGTGTCAGCCTCACGGACAGAGATTGGAAGTTGGTTCCACAAGAGAGGAGCCTGATAACTGAAAGATCTTCCTCCCATTCTGTTTTTGTAAATTCTAGGAACCACAAGTAAACCTGCAGTCTGAGAGCGAAGTGCTCTGTGAGGAAAATATGGAACAATAAGATCTGTAATATAAGATGGAGCCAGGTTGTTGAGAGCTTTATAGGTTGGAAGTAAGATTTTGAATTCTATTCTGGATTTGACAGGGAGCCAATGGAGAGAAACTAAAACTGGAGAAATATGATCTCTCCCAGTAACTCCAGTTAAGACTCGGGCAGCAGCATTTTGGATCAACTGAAGACGTTTTAAAGAAGTATTTGGACACCCAGATAATAAACCATTGCAATAGTCCAGTCTTAACGTGACAAATGCATGGACCAGTTTTTCTGCATAATTTTTAGATCAGATGTTTCTAATTTTAGTGATATTACGCATGTGGAAGAAGGCAGTTCTAGTAACGTTTTTAATGTGGGGGATAAAAGACATGTCCTGATCAAAAATAACACCAAGATTTTTAACATTAGAGCTGGAGGACAGATTAATGCCATCTAAGGAGGGAGAAAGACTGAAAAATTAATTCCTAAGGTGCTCAGGTCCAAAAACCAAAACCTCAGTTTTGTCTGTGTTCAACAGGAGAAAATTAAGGGTCATTCAGGTTTTTATGTCTTTAAGACATGGTTGTAGTCTAAGTAGCTGATTGGATTCATTGGGTTTAATGGACAAATATAATTGTGTGTCATCAGCATAACAATGGAAATTTATCCCATGCTGTTTAATAACTTTACCTAATGGAAGCATATTTAAAGTAAAGAGTATTTGCCCAAGCACTGAGCCCTGAGGAACTCCATGACTAACTTTGGTGTATGAAGAATATTTATTATTTACATTTACAAACTGGAATCTATCAGATAGATATGATTTAAACCATTTTAGAGCCGTTCCTGTAATCATATTCAAGTCTCTGTAGTAAAATATTGTTATCAACTGTATCAAATGCAGCACTGAGGTCTAACAGGACCAGTTTAGACACAAGTCCATTGTCTGAGGCCATGAGAATATCATTAGTGACTTTTACTAGTGCTGTTTCTGTGCTATGATGAGGTCTAAACCCTGACTGAAACTCTTCAAACAGATTATTTCTTTGTAGATGTTCACGCAACTGACCTGCAACTATTTTCTCTAGAATTTTTGAGATGAAAGTTAGGTTAGATATAGGTCTATAGTTGGCCAGAATTTCTGAATCAAGATTAGACTTCTTAAGTAAAGGTTTAATTACAGCAACCTTAAAGCGCTGTGGTACATAACCATTCATTAAAGACAAATTAAGTAGATCCAAAATGTGGACATTAATTAGGAGAAATACCTCTTTAAACAGTCTGGTTGGGATGAGATCTAGCAGGCATGTGGATGGTTTGGATGAGGTTATTATTTTTGACAATTCAGAGAGCTCAACAGGACAAAAACTGTCCAAACATAAATCAGGCTCTAGTGAAATTTTTAAACTTGCCTCGTTTGACAGGGGACTAGAGATAGTAGAAGGAAGGATGGTTTGAATTTTCTCTCTAATTGAAATAATTTTATTTATAAAGAATCTCTTGAAGTCATCACTACTTATAGTTGTAGGGATACATGGTTCAACAGAAATGGGACTTTTAATTAGTCTAGCAATAGTACTAAACAGAAACCTAGGGTTATTTTTATTCTCCTCTATTAAAGATGAGTAATATAAAGTTCTAGCGTTACAGAGAGCTTTTTTATATGTTAGCAGACTATCTTTCCAAGTTAAATAAAATTCTTCAACATTAGTAGAGTGCCATTTTCTCTCCTGGTTTCTAGATGCTGCTTTAAAGTACGTAACTCAGAATTGAGCCAAGGAGCCAGTTTCCTCTGATTGATTACTTTCTTTTTCAGTGGAGCAATTTTATCAAGTGAAGTTTGCATTGAAGTTGTAAGATGATCAACTAGATGATCTAAGTCTCCGTTCTCTGATGCATTACTCTGCAAGACAGAGGAAAACATTGATGGAAGAGATCGTTTAAATTTGGTTACAGCATTTTCTGATAAGCACCTGCTGAGATGAAATTTATTCTCAGTGACTGTGTAGTCATTTAATGTAAACTCAAAGGTTATTAAAAAATGGTCGGACAGAATAGGATTTTGCGGAACTATTACCAAGTCTTTAATCTCTATACCATAGGTCAGAACTAAATCAAGAGTGTGATGATAAGAATGAGTAGATGTGCGGACGTTTTGGGTAAAACCAAATGAGTCTATTAAATTATTAAAGGCTATGCTTAAGCTATCACTTTTACACTAGAAACACCACAAAGGAAGACAGCAATGTGCAATGTCTACAGAGTCATAGCACCACATTAAACTGCGGTAAAATTAGTTTTACGTTGGACATTCGAGCTCCGGGGCTTCAGCGGTTCACTCCACTCACTTAACCCAAACCCGAAACAGGCAGCCCGACCCCAGCCAGCCGCCCCCATTCTGCCCCGCTCAGTCTGCCTGACTCGGAAGAGGCAGACTGAGCGCGGCTGGGCGCACAGACAAGGAAGGCCCACAAGATGGTGCCATCCTTACAGGACCCCCCTCAAGGACACACCCTGGCATCCCCAAAAAAGCCCCATGTGTGGGCAGAGGGAGGAACTGCAAGGATGGAGGGCCCAAGGAAAAACATGAGGACAAAAACAAACTGACAAAAACCAAAACCTGGGAACTAAACTAACCCGAACAGGGGAACACAAAAAAGTCTGCGCGGTCAGGAGACCATCCCAAGCATGGCCATTGTTCCAGCGAGTGGCCGGGAATCTGTCCATCAGGCCAGAACAGGTCAGGCAGGTGGCCGGGAGGCTGACCATCAGACCAGAGTGGGTCAGGCAGGCAGCTGGGAGGCCATCTATCAGGCTGGAGCAGATCAGGCGGGCGGCCGGGAGGCTGACTATCAGGCCAGAACCGGTCAGGTGGGCGGCTGGGAGGCCGACCATCAGGCCAGAACAGGTTAGGTGGATGGCCGGGAGGCTGCTCAGGCAGGATCAGGTCAGACGGGTGACTGGGAGATCGTTCATCAGGCCGGGGCCAGTCAGGCAGGCAGCCGAGAGGTCATCCAACAGGCCATTCTATAGGCAAGAACAGATCAGACAGGCAGCCGGGAGACCATTCATCATGCCGGGGCCGGTCGGTCAGGCAGTCGAGAGGTCGTCCAACAGGCCATTCTTCAAGCAGGAAAAGGACAGACAGGCGGCCGAGAGAGCATTCATCAGGTCGGGGCCAGTCGGGCAGGCAGTCGAGAGGTCGTCCAACAGGCCATTCTTCAGGCAGGAACAGGTTGGGCGGAGCAGGATTGAGGACCTCAGCAGGCGGAGCTAGAACGAGGACCTCAGTAGGAAGAGCAGGAGCGAGGACCTCAGCGGACGGACCAGAAGTGAGGAGCAAGGACCTTTGCGGACAGACCAGTAGCGAGGACCTCAGTGGACGAACCAGTAACGAGGACCTCAGCAGAAGGACCAGGAGCGAGGACCTCAGCGGATGGACCAGTAGCAAGGACCTCAGCAGAAGGACCAGGAGCGAGGACCTCAGCGGGCAGACCAGTAGCGAGGGCCTCAGCGGAGGGACAAGGAGTGAGGACTTCAGCGGGCAGACCAGGAGCAAGGACCTCAGCGGGCGAATCAGCGGCGAGGAGCTCAGCAGGCAGGTCATGAGCGAGGAGCTCAGCGGCGAGGAGCTCAGCAGATGGGTCAGCAGCGAGGGTCTCAGCAGACGGGTCAGCAGCGAGGGTCTCAGCAGACAGGTCAGCGGCGAGGGGCTTGGCAGACAGGTCAGCGGTGGGTGAGGAGCTCAGCAGATGGGTCAGCAGCGAGGGGCTCAGCAGACAGGTCAGCGGCGAGGGGCTTGGCAGATGGGTCAGCGGTGAGGAGCTCAGCAGATGGGTCAGCGGTGAGGAGCTCAGCAGATGGGTCAGCGGTGAGGAGCTCAGCAGACGGGTCAGCGGTGAGGAGCTCAGCAGATGGGTCAGCGGCGAGGGTCATACTCACCACATGTGGTACATGTGGTGGAATGGAATTGTGTACACACAGTTCCAGTTACATCCAACAAAAGTATAAATTACCAAGGTACTTAAAGGAAGTACACCTTCCATTGGTTCACAGTTGATCTTTTGCCGTAGGTAGCCATCTTTTTGCTTCCAGTAGTCAACCATCTTCTTAATATCGCAGATTTTCAGGGAGAGGCTGTTGGTTCAGCATCACTGGTATATTTTCCACATGGTTCAGATAAGCTGGCTCTTTGTTCTCCGTGATTGATTGTGATTGGTCCACTGATCACCGTGTCATTTGCAAACCATAATGTAGGTGGAGCAATCAGAGGACTGGCAGTTGTGGATGCAGATGTAAAGAACGGAACTCATGACACAGCCTTGTGGTGCACCTGTGGTGATGGGAAGAGACTTGAAACATGTTTTCCCCACCTCTGCCATCTAGGTCCAGTTAGTGAAAAATCTTAGGGTCCAGTTGCTATTAAGACCCAGAACCTTCATCTTCATAGAGTGTGAGGGGTACTGAATGCTGGGCTGTAGTCATTAAACAGCATTTCCATTTTGTTCCTTCTGGATGAGAGGACAAGATTTAGGAAACTGTTCTTAGGACTCCAGTTGGGTCAAGCACAAGTCAAGGCCACTTGACGATAATACTTGAGGCACTGTGGGTGGTTATTTTTTTGGCATAGAAACAATGGTGGATTTTTTTCAGATCTTGAGTGACAACAGCTTTGCGCAAGGACGTGTTGAAGATTATAGTGGGTACTGAAGCTAGCTGGTTAGCACAGGACTTCTTTGAGCTCTCCTGAGGTCCCTTCTCATGTTAGACTCATCAAAAGAAGGTGTGGGTTCCCTGCTGATGAGCAGAAACTGTTGTTACTTTGGGTGTGCTAAAGTTAACGTGGATTGAATTGTAAGACACATAAAAGGTGTTCAGTTCATCAGCAAACGAGAGATCAGGATCCATCATGGAGGAGGGTTTACTTTTTAAATCAGCAACACAACAGCAGTTTAATAAGTAAGAAAGCTTAGACAATTAAAGAGAATGTAAGAAATGTTCATACTTAACGGTAGGGATGCACCGATCCACTTTTTTTTTTACTTCCGATCCGATGCCGATACCTAAGTCTGAATATCGGCCGTTACCGATCCAGTTCCGATATCATGATCATCATTGATTTTATATGAGGCTGTAATAATCTCCTCTCAAGTACAGTTTGTACAAATATATGCATGCATGTCCAAAAAGGCAACTTGAGGTAAGTTGTATTAATGTTGGATAAGTTTTAAAGTTAGAATTAAATTCTAACACAAAACATGTTTTTTTTTATTCCTAGCTTTAAGTTATTTTATATTTTTTTAAATAAGGGGCAGATATAAGTTTTTTTTTTTCTTCTTTCTGCACTCTTTTCATTCAATAATTTATTTTTGATGTTTTTTTTTTTATTGTTTCTTTTAAATGAATGAATAAATGAATTAAATAAAATGTTAACTGGCTTCAAACATCTGCTAAGTTCAGGACATAAACCAATAGACATGTTCCTGTTTTTAGTATTTTACATCACTTTATAATGTAGCTGTTTTTGTTTTTAATATATATAATTTTCAAATAATGTTTTTTATAATTGTATACTGTTGTACTGATAAATATCTCTGGAGGGTAAACTATATCTTGGCTGCAAGTGTCAAACTGTGAAATCCTTCGTTTTCTAAAACTGATAGTGGTTGGTCATGAATCATGATGAAGTTTATCAACTTCTCTGTAAACATTAGAGCTCCATGGCTTCAGCGATGTCTTCTTCTTGTTCAATCCAAAACAGGCAGCCTGATTTGGGGCAGCCGCGCTCAGTCTGTTCCTCCTCAGAGAGGGGTAGATTTAACAGGGCAGATTGGACACGGCTGGCCGGGGTCGAGTCGCCTCTTTCAGATTCAGTGAGAGTAGTGCCCCGCTGAAGCCACGGAGCTCGAATGTCTGTCGTAAAACTAACTTTACCACGGTTTAATGTGGTGCCATGGCTCTGCAGACATTGCATGTTGCTGCACTGCTTTGTGGTGTTTTTAGTGTAAAATACTTCCACACAGCGGACATGTTTAGATGAAAATTGGTTAGCTGTTAGCCACAGTGCTGCTAACTCAGCCCTCACATTGTAGCTGGCTGCAAACTATGAACTGGATTTCCTGAATGTGAGGCGTGTCTTATTACTCTGGGTTCATGAGACACGCCGCCGTTCAGGAAATCCATTCCATAGTTTGAAGCCAACTTGCATCATGGATCGGAAATATCGGCAGGAGGATCGGAAAATCTGATACGTAAATTATGCTGGTATCGGAGGCCGATACCGATACTGGATCGGATCGACCCCATCACTACTTAACGGTACTCATGGATGATCTGAAGACCCAAACAGCGGTGCTCTCTGGGTTCTGACTCCATCCTAACAAAACCAGCAAGAACCTTTTCTGCAGGATGTGGTTCAGTAGCTCTTCTATT